TCTCTTAGCAATATTTTCAAAAAGAAGGTAGATTCCCATCCAATCTCGATTATTCGACTCGAATGTTGATCAACCTTCTCCCGAAACTTGTTGCTCAAGCTATCATGGAAATGAGTGGCTAAATCCATCTCTTGTCAAGGTTAGGAGTAGTTGGTTCAGATTTTATGTATTCTTCTTAATCTCTTGTATGTGAACAAGTTTAATATCAATATAGATGAAGTTATTTGCCACTATTTGTATATTTATGGTTTGGTTTGTATTAGAGATAAACTTTCCAAGTCTTGACCTAATATCTTCATCTATCAACTATACAAATGCTAGAGATAGATTTGAAAGTTGATATCCGCATTGTATCATTCTTTATGATTATTTTTTGATTTTTATTTAGAGAGATTATTTAACGGTCGAAACAATAACATTCACAAAATCAATTTAGAGATGAACGTTTTTGCAAGGATACGCGGTTATGTTGGTCAGAAATTTGTTCACATATTTGATTGATTGGATACGTTTAGGACGAACTAGCGAACCCTAATCTTGACATGCTTTTATCAAACTTAAGCCCGACTTTTATTCTGTTTTAGTTATTGCAAACTTTTGTTACAAGATTGAAACCATTCTAAAAACCCCTTACTCTTAAGTCATTAAACCGTTGAACGACAAGCATCTATATTCTCTTCAATCCCTGTGGATACATTAAAACACTACCACAAAATACTTTCTAACACAAATCGCCAAGCACCCAAACAGAACAAGCAATAAAAAACAAATCAAACAAAAAGCGATAAATAAATCAAAGTAGACTAAACCCACTAGGAACTAGAGAATTCCCCAGCAGAGTCGCCATTTTATTATTGCGGGGAAATTTGTGACTGTAAGTTATTGATTAACTTAACTCAAAATGAAAGAGTTGTCACCGCACTTTTATTTTATCCAAAAAGAAAGGAAAAAGAGCGAACAAAACCTAAAAAGAGTTCTAAAACAAGAACAAAAGGACAGAGCCTGGGTAAGGGGGTTGATTACACAATGGGAAGGTATTAGCACTCAAAATGTCTATAGTACTCTATAGAAGCCCTTTGAAATATCTACGCTTTTTGTTTGAAAATGGTTTGCTCGAAAGGAGATTAGGGAGATGAGGAAAGAAATATTTTTTTAAGATTTTTGTGTTTGGAGAGACTTATCGCCTCATGCCTAGGTACCCACAAAGTGCAATATATGATCAAAACCTCGTAGTTCGTGGTACAAATAACAAAAAATTGTTGGTTATGATTGATTTTTAAATGTAAAGACAAGTCGATATTTTAAGAAGAAAACTACGACTAGTCGCCCATAAGTATAAGACAACTTTTGCATCACTTAAAGATGGAGGATTTTGCTTGGATTAAAATCAACAAGTCTATCACTCAACATCTAAGTGGAAAATATCAACATCTTAAATACTATGGGGAATAGAAAAATTATATCTCAACTATGGAAATGACTCATGTCTAAACTTATGAAAAGTTTTAAAATGAAAAATGCACAAAGGCACAAAAAGTTTTGGTGAGTTTGATCTTTTTTAGTCTTTTTGAAATTGGTCAAAATATGACTAACATTGATTGACATTTATTAAATAAAACAAAGTTTGAAAATCACTTGACAAAATTCAAGGTTTTATTATGAAAGTGGTTTTAAGTTTTAAAACAAGAAGGTTTTTGAAAAAAAGATAAGATTTTGAAAATTTAAGAAGGGGGGGGGGGGGGGGGGGGGATGAAGTGACTATCCTAGAAATAAAAATAAAAGTTAGAGATAAGAAGGATCTAATCGAATTGTAGAACACTCTATAGCAACCCAAATAAGAATTCCATCCATCTTAAAGTATAAGAAAATGAGAAAGCCAAATAAAGGCAAAGATCTATAATACTCCAAGCATAAATAAAGATACATAATTTTAAGTCCAAGAATAGTCCAAGAGGTCCAAGGTCTAAGAATATTCCAAGAGCATAACCACAAAGTTAAAAGCACCAAATTTTTTAAAGGTTTAATCTTTTACTAGTGTTTTGAACAAGATATGATCCAAATGGACAAAGGGAAAGAGCGGAAGCATAAACAATAATATGATATGAGATGTTAATAATGGAGCATAAAAAAAGAGAGATAGGGAGCAAGAAGGAAACATAAACAAAATTAGCACAATAATATTGTTAGTGAGTTAGTAATTAGTCGTTAGAACAAATGATCAACGATGGTTAACTCATGCACTTAGGCCAAAGTTAACAAAGACTCATTAGAGGATTGATATAATCAAAGCCTCCTAACAACAAGTTTCATAAGTGATGGACTTAAGAAAAATAATCAACCATACTTGGGCTTTCAAACATAAGTTTGAGCCACGAATGATCACTTTTCGATTACGAGACAACTTAGCGCTATGTTAATCAATCGTAATCAGGTTTATATAAAAACCACGACTATCTGAGGCTGACCAATAAAAATGTTAGTGCTAATGCATGCTAGAGAAGTGATATGTAGATCACTTTCCAAAAGCAACACCGCACGAAAAGAAAATTGGGAACGATCTCACTTTCAAGGTCATTCTATCTTTAAGTTCCATCCACTCATCTTGGTGGATTAAAGCACTAAACATATCATTAACTCAAATCACCTAAAATGAATTGAACAATTCACTTTAAAGATAGATTTGAATCAGTGAATCTTTATCCAACATCATCTACACCCTATGTCCAATGAATTTAAAGATGAAAGGTACCTTTAAAAGTGTATTACAAGGTAAAAACTAAAAGGATATGGAAGAAGAAGAAGAAGAAAGAACCAAAACAGTCCCAAAATAAAGCCAAAAAGGAAAAATCAACATTGTGTAATCAATTACCACCAGGAAGGTAATTGATTACACCTGTTAAAACAACAACGAATCGATTTGAAAATGTGCAAAACTTGATCAATCATTTCTTCAAACACTTCATGATCGAGGATGCTATTGAGCATGAAAAATTAAGTAAAATAACAGCAAACAACATCATTAGAACACAATTTGCAAGATCCAAAGATCAAGCAACAAGAATCAACAATAGATCATATTGTGAAGGATGTATCAAGAGCATCAATGGTGGATCAAGAAATCACCACTCCAAATCTGAAAATTCTTCAAATAAACTCCACAAACCACACTCTAAAGCATTGATCTACTGAAATTGATGATGAAAAAATGAATGGATGAATGTTTAGCTAAAAAACTAGTAAGTTATAATGATGAACTTACTAACTTTCAAAGGAAGAAAGAGCTTTGGTAAATTTGGTAGTTGGAGAAAAAAGAGATAGTCAAGAAAGAATTTGACAAGGTGAATTTGGCTATCAAAAGCTTGTGAAATGAGAGAAATGAAGCCTCTATTTAAAAGGAGTTAGGCTTGGAAAATTTGGTGGATTGAAATTTGGTTTAGAAAAAAAATTAGGCTTGGAATTTGAATTTGGAGGAAAATTAATGATCAAGTGGTGATTAATGAAGGTGTATGGTGAGAATTAATTATGATGAGGTAGGGGAGTAAAAATAAAGTAATATAGAATATTGTCATGATGAAATATTTGAATTTGGTGCCAAAAATGCTACAGAATTTGAATTTGGCCAATTTTCACAAAATGTGCATAGGATAATCGATTACCCTAATACTGATAATCGATTACCCCAAGCAAAAAATGTGAAAAATTGCCTTTTTGATGTGTTGTATTGGCTCTGCCTCGATTCTTTTGCTTGTCAAAGAAGACATTGAAATAAACACATAAACCTTGGAGTCTCTTGAATAAAAGTCAATCAAATCTTGGGAAGCTCTTGATCAGATGATTTTGAATTATTTGCAGATCAACTTTGACTTTTTTCAAATGAAATTCATTCGAGCTAAGGGGCTGGTACTTGATATCTTTGATCTAAACCAAATTTTTTTTTTGAGTTTTAATTAATGGTTAGTAAACGTAAACATAAACAAATATCAAACAAACGACAAAACCAGGGTGCCCGGTGATGTCTCAAGAATAAACACATAGAGGAAGACAAGAGAATCAAAGCATGCAATCTTGTTTGTGGAATGAGATGCAAATGATATGTGGGATCTTAGGGGTAAAAGTTAGAGTATTACACATCACCATCATGATTTTCCTTCCTTGAATCGTAATCGGTGGTCTAGATACCAGATGTTGGAAATTCAACCACAAGCTACGAAGAATTTCACTCAATCAATCTCGATCTCAAGATTGTTCTCACTCACGTAATGACAATGAAAGAAAAATTTAGAAAGAAAGAAAGAAAGTAAACGTTAGAGAAGAAAATATGAACAATTTTCTGCAGAGAACTCTCTGCCCACAAACTGTGGAAATTCTGTTATTTCACTTGCAACCGCAAACTGTGAATTACAAAATATGATGAGATGAGATGAGATGTTTACAAAATAAGGGTTTCTCCCTATTTATAGATTTAGGTTAGCTTGCACCCAAAGCCAAAGCCTAAACTATAAAAGTCCAAAAGTATCTAATCTAATCTTTCTAAATCAAATATGTTCTTTCTAAATCAAATCTAATATTTCTAAAACAATAAATTACATAATTAATTTAGTATAACTTTAAATTTTTAAAATTCTTTTCGATTATAAAAGTAAAAACATTAACTCTTTTATTCTTCTTTCTCTCGTACATAGCCATGTTCAATTCATTAAGATTTTTGCTCTAGACTAAAATTCTAGAACAAATATATAACATTTAAGAATATTTGGTATATAACTATCAAACGAATAAAATAAAGAAAATACTTATATCTCATTAAAATTTAATATCTCTTTAAAACAGACATAAATAAATATTAAACTTATTTTATTTGAACTTTGAAAGACTCTAAAAACAACACAGGGAAACACCTAAGAATCTTTGATTATCTAATAGTTATGAGGGTGATTATAGTGGTTAACGTTCCACCGCATGAAGTTCTCATCAATGACATTCCCATCATTAAGAAGATACTAAGGGGGAAGTTGATAATTAGCATCCATATCATCGAACCTTGTAGGTACATGAAAAACATTGTTGTTGTTGTCAAATTCACGTGCTACATGATTAACATTGGTGAAGACGCCAGCATCATATGTTGGTGCAACCTCTTTAATTTCTTGAACATTTTTATGGGAGGATACCTCCCTATGGAATGTTGTTTTCCAAACAAGAGTGGCATTAATCAAAATGACACCAGCGGCAGTAATTTTTCCACCAACAATTCCACCAAACACATATCCATTAAGACTAGAGAAATATACGGTAAAAGAGGAACATGGTGGATCAATTATGAATTTTCTAGGAGGACATTCACAATTTGGATTTATATATGTTCCAAACAAAGATGTCATATGTACGGGTCCTTCAATGGGTAATAATGGGATACGAGATACTGGATCTAGAAAGGTAATATTAGAGATAAGACCGAAACCCCTTGACACTATTATATTAGCTTTACGACGGTGAGCATATTTGATTATACTCTCCGCAATATCTTCTCCAGAAGAGATATGAAGTGTAACCACTTCTGTGAAGGTTTCCCTCTTTTCCTCAATAACGATGCGTGTTTTGGGCCTGTTCTTAGAGCCCAAAGGTCTACCCATTCGTTTTTTGGAGGAGGATTTGATAAGATTTTTTGGTGGATCTTGAGGGAAATCAATATCTCTATCAGAGAAAGATTGTGTAGATGATGGTGGTGGCATCATCAATGTGTCATTGTTGGTGGTGGTAGTGGTGTGAGAGACTATAAACTCTTTGTTGCCTTCCAATGTGGAAAAAGAGTTATTTGAGTGTGTATAAAATATACTAGGGTTGTTTTCAGTGGGAATCATTGTTGGAATTTGGAGAGTTGGGTTTTGAGGAAAAAGATGAGGATGTAGATTTTTTATATGTCATTATTAGGGATATATGTTTTTGAAGAAGAGAATAACAAGTATTTATAGTTGTTTTGAATGTGAGAGATGTGTGTCTTACTCATTTGAATTTCTAGTTGAATTGTAATTTTCCTTCTAGATTAACTATGAATTGTAACCTTCTTTCTAGATTATCTATTAGGTATAAAATAAATCGTTTAAAGAAAAAATATACTTTTATGTTTTATAAAATATATAATTAAGAGGTAAATAAGTTATTAGTCCTTATAAATATTTTAAAATTCTTTTTTGTTATCTAAATTTTTCTAGAAGTTTTGGTTTGTCATTGATTTTTTTATACCAATTTTAAGCCTTGCGAACAATTTCATAAGTCTTTTTCATCTTAGAAAATGCGTAAACTTGAAAAACATTTGGGAGTAAACTTGCCAAAAAAAATTTAAGAAACTATGTATGAAATTCTAAAATATTTTTAAGATCAAGAACTTATTTAATCTATTTTATATCATATTTAAATGAAGAGAGATAAATAAATATTATTTATATATATATATATATATATATATATATATATATATATATATATATATATATATATATATATATATATATATATATATATATATATATATATATATATATATATATATATATATATATATATATATATATATATATATATATATATATATATATATATATATATATATATATATATATATATATATATATATATATATAAACAAAGTGTTTGTTTGAAAATTAAATTATTTATTTTGCAATTTTATTCTATTGAATCTAACATAAAAAGTGTTATATTTACCTAATAATTTATATTGGTTGACTAAATATATTTAATAATTGTTTTAAAATAAAAATAAATTTAATTTTTATTTTTATATTCCTTGTTTGTACATGTATATGAAATGTAATGGTAAAAAGAGATAAGGAGAGATATGAAATATAATTTTGAATAAAAAATAAAAGTTTAATTATTATGCAATGACATTGAAAATAGTTTTATCTGTCGATCAATTTAAACTCATCATTATCAATATCATATCATTCATTTTAAAATTAAGGTTTAATTTGACCAAGTACACCATAGTGATTGATTTATAGTATAAAATTAATTTAGATTATCAGTGCATATTCTATTTTTTCAAAAGTTAATATCTAATATATTTTTATTAAATAAAAATAATTTAATATGTGGTTAATAGATAAGCACTAAAGGTGTAAAAAAAAATTATATAAGCATCCATCTATACGACACCTTCTAGATATTTTTAGAGATATTTTAGAAATTAATTTATAAGATATAATGCAATTTTTAAATAAAGAATAAATAATCACACATGTATTTAAGAGCATTTTTAATAGTTAAATTTTTTATAATTAAGAATGATTATATAGAATTTGCAGGCTCTGGCATGACATTTAATTCACTAATTTTTAGTTTCCGACAATTATATAGTTAATGTATATTATTTATTTTGAAACATATAATATTATTATTTATATTATTAAAGTCTTGTAGTTTTTTTTTAAATAATTATAAAATATAAAATATAGGGTCAAGTTTTAATTTTTTATAAACAACTGTCATTAAAGTAAAAACAACTAAAATCAACTATACATTTTTTAAATCCTACAAATCACTTTGACGCCACAAAAAATATCTTAGTTTACCCACTTAACTAAAAATACTTTTATATAATAATATAAAAATATAAATTAAAATTTACTATAAAAAGAAAGAATAATAAATAGTAAATGGGTGCAAGCGGTTAGTTTAGGGTTTAACTCCTCGTAATATTTCTTTGTATTGTTTCATAATATATTGTAAATTAATTATTGATAATTATAAATCAATAATTTAAAAAAATGATAAACAAATAAAATAGAAAGATAATTATTAATATTTTATTATTATTATAAAGTAACTTATTTTGTATAATATATTTTTAGCAAAATGATTTATAATTTAATATAGATATAATATTTTTTTCTTGAATATTTTTTTACTTTCTAGTATTTAGGAAAATGCTTTAGAAAGAGTATTTTAAGAGTCTTGTGGGTTATAATAAAGGAATATTCAATTTACTTTGATTTTTAAAATTTTAAAATCACATATTATATTAATTTTTATTTGACAAATGTAACATTAAATTTTATAAATAATGAACATAAAAAAATAAAAATAAAAAACCATTCTATATTTTATAAATATGTGCAAATACTTTTACATGTATTCTAGAATCATATAAATTAGTGTATTAAGAAATTTTAAAAATACATTGTATTTGAATTCGTTCAATTTTAATAAGCTTGAACTCTTGTCTTTATCCATTTAGTGACTTGTTCAATTTTTAGTATTAATTACAACGTGAATAATGACTGATATTTGACATTAGTGTCAATAAAATCATTAAAATTAATGTCTTATAATTTATTTTCAAACAAAATAGTTTTAACGCTATTAAAATATGTGGATTAGGTTTAACTTATTAATATAAATTTATTTTCAAACAAAATAATTTTAACGCTATTAAAATATGTGAATTAAATTTAACTTATTAATATAAAATTGATTTGTAAAGTGTGAGGTATCACTCTATATAATATTTTGAATAAAAAATAAAGTATGTGTGAATTACAATGATAGACTTTTTTATGTGATACTACAAATCTTCTGTGCGGTTGAACACGGAGGTGGATTTAAAAGATTAGCATTTCACTATCAAATTTAAAAATAAAAAAAAGTAAAGTGAAATATGAAAAGAGTGTATGCGCTTTTACCTTACACATGTAGAATATATATATATATATATATATATATATATATATATATATATATATATATATATATATATATATATATATATATATATATATATATATATATATATATATATATATATATATATATATATATATATATATATATATATATATATATATATATATATATATATATCCTAAGATGGTAAGGGATATTCAGAGCTCTTAGTAGGTTTATAATAATTTATGATGGTAAGGATTTGCTCGCAGCGGCTAGATATTTATAGAAACTCTCTTGGGACTAGGTTGTTGTGTTAGTGGGCGGTTATACACTAGCTTCATGACCAAGAAAGTGGTCAAATGGGACTTCTAGGACTATGGAAGAAATTGTTTTGTCCTATGACAAATTTTCTTTAGTTATTAATTGTGGGCCCACGTTTTCACCCATGTTTACTGGGGGAGTGGACAATGTGAGCTCAATCCAAACGGTCTCGTGACATGTTTTTGGAGGCCATATAGTCCCTTCATACGGCCTCTGGATTTCCAGGGTAGCTTTCCCCTCGCTCTTGCGTCTAGCCTTCTTAATTTCCTCTAAATATCCCTTCTTAGGGGCCTGGTAAAATTATATTAGTACACAGTTCTTTAAGCACAAGAGCTTGAAAAGGGCGAAGTAATTTATTAAGAGTCCCTGTGTCCTTAAAAATCCCTTGTACGAATCTACCCCAGGTGTGATTTTTCTTTATGAGGGCTTACAACGAGTTCCTCAAGTATACCTTGGGATGAGTTCCTTAGACGAGACTTAATAATCATGTCTCTAAGGCAAGACCTTATAGTCGATTCTTTTAGGCGAGGCTATATAGTCAAGCCTCTTAGGCGAGACTTTATGTCGAGTTCTCCAAACGACACTTAATAGTCAAATCTTTAAGGAGAGACCTTATAGTCGAGTCTCTTAGGAGAGAATTTACATCGAGCCCCTCGAGTGAAACTTAATTGTCAAGTCTCTTAGGCAAGACTTTATAGTTGAGTCTCTTAGTCGAGACTTTATGTCAAGTCCCTAAAGTGGAACTTAATAGTAAAGTATCTTAGGTGATACCTCATAGTCGAGTCTCTTAGGCATGAATTTAAGACTCTAAGTCCCCCAAGCGAGGCATTTAGATAAGCTTATTTGGTGGGACTAAAAATCCTTCTAGAGAGATTATATGTTGAGCCTTCCTGATAAGGCTTTAAGTCTCTCAGGCTAGGTATTATGCCCTTTGTGTTGGACTTTTATCAAGTTCTCAAACAAGACTTATTTGGGAAGTCTCTTAGGCTAGACTTCATGTGTCCATTAGGTGAGACATTATGTTGGATCTCTCATGAGGAAACTCTAAGTCCCTCATACGGGGAGTTTAGATCACCATGTTTGATAGGACTTTTAGTCGTTCAAGAAAAGTTATATTAATCTTAGCTAATGAGATGCCAAGTATCTCATGCAAGGCGTTGGGTCTCTTGAGTGAGACTTTTATCAAGCCCTTAGACAAGACTTTAAGTTAAGTCTCTTGAGTAGGACTTTGGTTGTGCCCTCTATGACGAGACATTATGTTGGATCCTAACCGAGGAAACTCCAAGTCCTTCTAGATGGGATTTTAGATGAGCCTGTTCGGTGGGACTCTTTGTCCCTCAGGCAAAGTTATATATGGCCTAGTTGATGGGACTCTAAGTCTCTCAGGCGAGGTGTTAGAACTCTTAGGCGGGGCTTCCATCAAGCCCTAGACAAGACTTTAAGTTAAGTATCTTGGGCAAGACTTCGATCGCGCCTCATGGGCAAGATGTTATATTGGATCATGTCCAAGGAAGCTCCGAGTCCCTTAGGCGGGGAGTTTATATGAGATTGTTCGATGGAACTGTAATTTCTTAAATCAAAACTTCATAGTTAGGTCCCTTAGGTGAGACCTTCTAGTTAATCCTCTTAGGATAGACTTTATGTTGAGTTTGTATGATGAGACTCTAAGTCCCTCAGGTGAAGCGATTAGATAAGCATGTTTGGCGAGACTCTAAGTCTTTCAATCAAGATTTTAGGTCGAGCCTCTTAGGTGAGACCTTATAGTCGAGTCTCTTAGGCGAGAATTTATGTCGATTCTATCTGATGAGACTCTAAGTCCTTAGGTGAGGCGTTTAGATGAGCCTATTTGGTGGGG